TTGGGGGGGGATAGCCAGACTGCAATCCCTTCTCCTCCATTCTCCTCTCAGGATCTTAGGCACACATGTACACATGCCTGGCGTGAGTTTAAGCCACTGGGTCTGTGACTTGAACCATGGTTGACTACGTGGGAGTCTAGCGACATAACCATTATGCCAACTGCTGGTTCTCCAGACAGAGTATTTTTTTAAAGAATTATTTTATTTATTAATTATTATCATTCTTTTATTTTCTCCATGGCATGGGCACTTACCAGAGAAAGACAGAGAAAGGGAAAGTAAGGAAGGAAGGACTCAAACCCGGTTGGCCATGAGGGAGTCCAGCACTTCAACCACCACACCACCTGCTGGCCCCCATAGTGTGTGTGTGTGTGTGTGTGTACATTTGCTGTAAAATCTTTGTTAGAAAAGGAAGCCTGAGACCAGCAGTTGGCATAATGGCTGTGTTGCTGAACTCTCATGTAGTCAACCGCAGTTCAAGTCCTGGATCCAGTGACTTAAACTCATGCCTGGAGTATGTGCGTGCGTGCCCAAGATCCCAAGAGGAGAACGGAGGAGAAGGGATTGCGTGTAGCCATCCCCCCTGGGGGGGTGATTTCTCGCTTTCTTTCTCTCTGTCTCTCTGTCTTTCTGGCAAGTGCATGCGCCCTATAGCAAAAACCTCTCAAAAAGAAAAAAAAGGAAGGAAGGAAGGAAGGAAGGAAGGAAGGAAGGAAGGAAAGAAAGAAAGAAAGAAAGAAAGAAAGAAAGAAAGAAAGAAAGAAAGAAACCTATAAACTGGAAGCTAAATGCTGGAGATGACAGGATGTCAGGTTCTTTTTTTTTTTTTAGAGGATTTTGCTATAGGGCACGTGCGCTCTCCAGACAGACAGACAGAAACAGAGAGACAGAAAGCGAGAAATCACCCCCCAGCGGGGATGGCCATACCGCAATCCCTTCTCCTCCATTCTCCTCTCGGGATCCTGGGCACGCACGCACACGCGCCTGGCATAAGCCACCGGGTCTGGGACGCGAACCGCGTTCGACTACATGGGAGTCCAGTGACATAGCCATTACGCTAACTGCTGGTCCCTATGTCAGGTTCTTCTAAGCACTGAGTCCACAATGCCCCCTAATGCCTTGCCACAGCAAGCTCGAGGCCACCCTTCCTAAGCTGTGGCACAAGCTCCCAACTGGGAAATCAAGGCAGGAGGATTGTGGCATTGAGACCCTGTCTGAAAAAAAGAGAGTAAGAGAGACCAAATATAACCATTTCCTTTCCTTCCCTTTCCATTTATTTATTATATCAGCCTTAATAAGAAATCAAGAAAAGGAAAAACATTTCACACATACCCTGGCATAGCCACTGTCTTCATTAGTCTCAGCTCATTTCTGGTTATGGTTTCTTTGTATCCAGATAATATAGTTGTATTATGGTTGTTTTAATATAGTTGAATTGTGGAAGGAGTTCTTTCCAAATAAAATGCTGATTTAATGGTAGTATGATACTCCTTGTAGTCTGATGTGCATGATTTCATTTTGTGTATTGCGCTTTTCTCTTTCTCTTTGACAGTATAACACTGCCTTTAAATTCAGATGTCCCCAAGGTATTTGCAGCATTGCCTGAATTTTATGTAGAAGATGTTGCTGAATTTTTATTTTTTATTGTACAGTAAGTGCCTTTAACATATTCCATAGAGCTAATACGTTTTATACATAGTGTGTAGAGGAGATTATGAACTGTCTTGCAGACCTCCATGTTATGCCTGAATTTATGTAACTGTTGTAACTGAATGCTGCCAAGAGACTGGGAAGATAAATGCAGCTGTGGCACCAGTTCAGTTCTTACAGTATCTCACAGACAAGCAGAATGAACAGTGCAGATAATATAGTGTGTTCTGTGAAAACTGAGTTGAATTTCTAATAGTCGAGTGTGTGCTTTTAAGAAACAGAAGGAGCAGTTTATAAATATCCGAGTGAACATCCATAAGCCAGAAATAGCCACATCTGTGTTTTGTACCAAAATTTGTCTTAATTTTAAAACTGAATAAAGCTTATAAAGAATTGGCTTGAGTTTATAATTGATACTGGAATTTTTTTAACTTTTAAAAGATTTTTTCAAATCTTTATTTGGTTTATAAAATTGACATTTTATTTTTCAAACATTACAGGTTAGAAGAATTACGATGCAACTTGTTGGCACCATGATTGCATTATTATAGTAGCACTGGCCTGGGGAGGGAAGTGTATGTGAGGTGTATTTGGAAAGGTAAAGTAGTGTAGGCTCACAATACAGAATGCAAATTGTTGAAATTTTGTAACAACAGAAAAATTCAAAAATAGTGTATGTGTTTGTGTATATTTATATATTTTTCTAGTTTTTGCCATAGGGCATGTGTACTCTCTGTAGAGAGATAGAAAGAGACACGGAGGGAAAGTAAGAAATCACTCCCCAGGGGGGATGGCCACACCACAGTCCCTTCTCCTCTGTTCTCCTGCTGAGATCTTGGGCACACACACTCACACACACACACACACACGCCCCCTAACCTGAATTTCAAGCCACTGGGTCTGGGACTTGAACCACAATCGGCCATGTGAGAGTCCAGCGATGTAACTACTATGCCATCTGCTGGCCCACTTTTTTCTCTCTCTAAAACATAGGAAGTTAATATGCTACAACCTAGAAATGTGTTTGGTTTTAATGTAAATAGTCACTTTAAATTCAACAGGTTAAAGAGAATTCATCTTTGCTCCTAGACACTAGCCTTCACCCAGGATGAATTTCCCAAAGATTGATTTTTTTGTTCTCCTTGCCTCCATTCAGATACTCTCCTCAGGTGCTTTATGAGCCCTGTACTCAGGATATTGTGATGTTCCTCGTTGTGATGTTGTGCAACCAGAACTATATCCGGAATCCGTATTTGGTGGCCAAGCTGGTAGAAGTCATGTTTATGACCAACCCTGCTGTTCAGCCACGAACGCAGAAGTTTTTTGAAATGATTGAGAACCATCCTCTCTCCACGAAATTGTTGGTACCTTCCCTGATGAAGTTTTATACAGGTAGGTTCCTGGGTATGCAGTGTGGCACAGGCCTCAGACTTGGATAGGGCCATCTGAAGCCAGCATACTAAGTTACTCTAAACCATCCTTATGTCCACTGATGAGTGGAGCTGTAGCCTCCTAACCCACTGCCAGGAGAGTATTATTAGTTCCATTGAGAATAGTACATGGACTCTTCTACAACTGGGCTCTAAACGAGTCGCAGGATCTGTTGCAAGTCAGTTGGTATCACCAGCACAGCTGATGTCCTGTCTGAGTGCAAGACACGTTTGTGTCTCTGCGTCGCCATTCTGGTCTCATTCTTTCTCCTTATAAACCTACCAGGAATCAGTCATGGAAGCACCACCCTAATGCCCTAGACTAAATTCCTTTTAGTCTTGAATGTTTGCAACATTAGTTTTATAACCTTATCCTATAGCCCAGAGTTTCCAACATGTGAGCAAAATGGAGCATATTGCAAGTGCTTATTCTTAAATCCCATTCAAACCAATGCAGTCAGGATTTCTGGGAGCCACTGGGAATCTTCACTCATTCTGTGAGCTCAGTGTGTTTGCCGGGCACCGTTCCATGTGTTGTTTACAGAGGCGAGTAAGATCCTGTGAGACACTCTGCAGGCAGGTCCTCTTCTTTTCATTAAACTGTATTCTAAATTTTGATTTTTAATTTTTTTAAGAATTACTGTATTTAACTTTATTCATTTATTTATTTTAATTTAACCAAAGAAGGACAGAGCAAGAAAGAGAGGGAAAGTGAGAAGGCAAGCCACCAGGTCCAGGACTTAAACCACAGTCAGCCATGTGATAGTCCAGTGTCCTTAACCACCACACCACCTGCTGGCCCCAGCATTTCTTAAAATAATGATAAGGTGCCACTTTTATCTATCACATTTAATTTTTAAGCTGAAAATATTCAGTGCTAACATGGGAGTAGATACATAAACTAATGTACTCTGGTAGGCAGTGTGTGCAGTTAGTGCTGTGAAACGCTCATGAAAATGGGACGTGGTAAACCAGCCTTTCTGGAAAGCAGTTGTCTGTCCACACAAAAGCCTTACAAAATTTTTATATTCTTCATATGTGAAGGTCCAACAGGAAAACAGAAGTATACCAGTTATTTTAATAGAAGTTAATAAAAGGAACTAGTCAGATAGGTATTAGAAGGCTGAAATGACAAAAAAGGAACATTGGGTGACCCCAAATATAGGTGCAGGCAGCAGCTGCCACCTGCCCTGAGGGCTCGGGAAGCCAGGGAAGAGTGTGAGGTTTTTAGAACCCAGCTGATCCAATGCAGGCTTGGACAGAGTTAGGACCCAGGCCTGTGAGGAAGGACCTCAGCCCTCTGGTGTTGATGTCTCTGAGGGTGCGAAAGTTTTCTAGAGGTCTTAGAAGACAAAGCTGGACTTTGGAACTATCTACTGCTGGGATGGAGCGCTGTTGCTGACAGGAGCAGCGAGGAGGACCAAGTCCCAGACTCTCCTACAGTGTCCACGTCGCTGCAGGGCCCCTACTGGCGAGCCTAACAGAGGGCCAACTGGCAAAGGAAAAACTCAGCCAGCCCCGAGCTCAGAGCAAGTATAAAGAACATGCCTGGAGTTGAAGTGACTAGTATTCTCTTACATATTACATACTAGGAAGTCAATTCCTAGTAATTAATTAACTCTGTGCAGATTAATGATGTACGTATCAAAAGCTTCTCTATGATGATATTCACCATGGTATTGTTCATAATGCAGTGTAGTGAAAATGCGAAAAACAACCTAAATTGCTGCTAACTGTGGGTAAGTTAAGTAATTTATAGTTTATCTACACAGTGGACCTATATGAATATAATGTGTTCTTTGCATTAAGTGATTAAGAACAAAAAGACAAGAAAATATCAATTAATTAAACAGTGCGTCCACATTTTTGGTATATATGTTCCAGACTGTTAACAGTGAGCTATCTTTGAATGGTAGATTAATGAATAGTTTCATTTTGGGACTCACAGATGGTGTAATTGTTATGTCATTGGATCCCATGTAGTTGACTGTGGTTCAAGTCCTAGACCTGGCAGCTTAAGACTCACGCCAGGTGGGTGTACGTGCATGCCCAAAATCCCGAGAGGAGAATGGAGAAGGGATTGTGGCATGGCCATCCCCCCGTGGGGTGATTTCTCACTTTCTGTCTGTCTGTCTGTCTCTGTCTCTCCGGCAAGTGCATGTGGCCTATAGCAGAAATCTCTCTAAAGAAAAAAAATTTCATTTTGTTCTTTTTTTCTTAATCTGAGCATCTTGATTTTTCTATAGTAAATTAAGTAGTTAAAAAAAAAGTGTTAAATGTATTTCATACCCAGTACCCTAGGCCTGTTGCTGTGACTTTAAGGAAAAGTATGTAAGAGTGTGTGTATGTGCACACATACACACACACAAGCACTTGCACATTTGCTACAGGCTGAGTCTCCTGCCTATAAGACGAGTGTGGCCCTGCTGGCAGTGTTCCAGGAGCTGGTGGGGCAGATGTTCTTTCTTTCGCCTTTGTCCTGGAGCACTGTGCCCTCTGGCCTGGACCACCTCTGTGCTCGTGGGTAGCTGATACCTGTGCTAATAATACTCACTAATCCTTTCACTTAATCCTCACTGCAGTCCTACAGATGGGCACTATAAATATCTCTTCTTTACACACGGGGAAACTGAAGCTTAGAAGGGCCGGAGGCTTGCTGAAGGTCACCAGCTAGCAAGTGGCAGCAGCCTCAGCTGTTGGGCTTTTGTACCAGTGCTCCTGTCACTCTGCTGGTCTTTCTGCAGTTACCAGGGGACCCAAGGCAAGAGGGCCCTTCAGTGGGGCAGACACTCTCCCAAGTGTCCACCAAACTCATGCTAAGATCTCAGGCCCTAACACCTGAGCGAGTTTGACTCTGAGACCTGAGTTAGAGTCACCTTTTACAGGACTGATACATGGAACAAGCTCCTACCCCAGAGATAGAATATTCTGTCAGGTCATTGGAAAAGTCATGATGCATTTTTGCATAGAAAAACAGAAAACTACATCATGACTTTGCCAACAAGGCAGTAGCTTAAAGAATGTCTAGGCTTAAATTTATGTTTCAAAAATATAATTAAGTTTCTAAATAAGAGTATTTTATTTCTATTGTAGCAGTCTGTTCCTTAAGGGCCACTCTTAGAACTTGGGTGAACACCGATAACCCAAACCTATTTTAAGGTAGTCTCTTCCCCAGGGGCCAAGCTGACCATGATTTGAGTCACAGACCTGTTGGCTTGAAACTCACACCAGCTGAGTGCATGTGCGTGTGCATGCGTGTGCCTAAGATCCTGGGAGGAGAAAGGAGGGAGAAGGGATTGCAACGTGGCTGTCTCCCTTGGGGGTGATTTCTCACTTTTCCTTCACTCTCTGTGTCACTGTCTCTCTCTCTTTCCAATGAGTGTATGTGCCCTAAGACAACCTCTAAAAAAAAAATCCTCTTCCCCCAATCAATCAAAATCAGTAAGTCCAGCATTAGCCAAAATAGATTAAGTCTGACTCAGCAAATTTTATGATGCTCGGGACCAGCAGTTAGCATAATGGCTATGTCACTGGACTCCCACGTAGTTGACCGCAGTTCATGTCCCACACCTGGTGGCTTAAATTCACGCCGGGCGAGTGTGCGTGCGTGCCCAAGATCCCGAGACTAGAACGGAGGAGAAGGGATTGCGGCATGGCCATCCCCCCTGGGGGGTGATTTCTCGCTTTCTGTCTCTCTGTCTCTCTCTCTCTGTCTGGTAAGCACACGTGCCCTATAGCAAAAAAAAATATATATATATTTATATTTATGATGCTCTTTCTAAATGAAGGTATTAAAATCCATGCCATTACAAGTCAGATACTCTATTTGGAAGACAGACATTGGACAAGAAAATAAGAATAAGAGACTTTGAAACAGTGATTGAGGAAGACGGTACCTACTTTACAAGCAGAAAGGAAAGGTCTCTGAGGAGATGGCTTTGGAAATGAGACAAGTTCAGGGGCCAGCAGGTGGTGTGATGGTTAAGGCACTGGACTCCCAAGTCCCAGATCTGGTGGCTTGAAACTCACTCCAGGCACATGTGCATGCGTGTCCAAAGTCCCAAGAGGATAGTGTAGGAGAAGGGATTGTGGCGTGACCAATCCCACCTTGGGAGGAGTGATTTTTCACTTTTCCTCTCTCTGTCTTTCTCTGGCAAGTGCACATGCTCTATGGCAAAAACCTAGAAAAAAAAACAAAACAAAACAAAACAAAACAAAGAAAATGACACAAGTTTGAACCCTATCAGGATCTCAGCCACAATGTGGCAGGTAAAGGGTACACGCGCTCAGGGGTTAGGGCCTAATCAGTAGGTCTTGGTATGAGTTTGGTGGACACTTGGGAGAGTGTCTGTGGTGCCCCACTGAGGGGCCCTCTTGTCTTGGGTCCCTTGGTAACTTCAGGAAGAACAGCAGAGCAGCAGGAGCACCTGTGCAAAAGCCCAACAGCTGAGGCTCTGCCCCTTGCTATAACGGTCCTATAGCTCAGGCAGCTTAATGAAACAAGAAAGAAGGCAGGGGCAGGCAGTGGCACGGTCTCATGTGCAACGGGATGCACATGAGAAAGCTCTTGTGTTCACATTCGGGACCTCCTTGGACACACCAGATACGCATGTGTGCATGCCTCCTATCTGGGCCAGCTGGGATTGGGATTGGATCGTGATATGAAGACCCTGTTAGGGTTTCTTTGGCTCGCTCTCTCTTTTATAGAATAAATAAATGAACTTAGAGAGAAGGCAGGACGAAGATCTGCATAGGGGTAAGGTGAGCTCAGCGTGGGCCTCATTTGTTTATAACCTTCTAGAACTAGATCTTGGGAATTAAAGCTTGGGTTGTTTGATTTTGAGGAAACATGAGTAGTGAATAAGAAAAAAAAAACTGTTAAAAGAGATATGTATTGATAGATAATAGATTAATAGTAATTTCTTAGCCTCTGCTATTAATATATTCAGAATACAGTATAAATGTTACAGCAGTTTTAGATACATATGACATTGTGTTGGCCCCTTAGTATTTTTCTCTTATAGGTCGTGCTTAAATCCGCTCTCCACACTTAAGTTCACGCTTTTATATAGTTAATAAAATGACACTTAGATCATCTTTAAAAAGGGATTATTTAATGAATATGCATAAGTACTTTCAAATATTATTATGATAGGTGTTATTTATCTTATTCCTTTTATTTTTAAATAACTTTTTTTTTTTTACTCACAAAAAGTATATTTTCTTGGGAAATACAGACAATGTCAAGAAGGAAGCCAACTCATGGCATGTTGGTTAGGGCAACTAGATCCCATATGGCCAACTCTACTGTTCAAGTCCTGGAACTGATGGCTCAAGAAACATTCCAGATACACGTGCATGTGTACACAAAATCCAGACAGGAGGGAAAAGCAGAGAAGGGCCTACAGTGTGAACATGTCCCGTGGGGGGTGCTTTCTTGCTTTCCCTCTTTCTCTGTCTCTCTCTCGCTCCAGCGAGCTCACACACACTCTGACAAAACTTTTAAGTAAAAATATCAGGACCAGCAGGTGGCCTGGTGGTTAAGATGCTGGACACTCCCACATGGCTGACCGTGGTTTGAGTCCTGGACCTGGTGGCTTGCTTTCTTTCTCACTTTTCCTCTCTCTCTCTCTGACTCTCTCTGGTCAAAATTTAAAATAATAATAGATGAATGAATTAATACAATTAAATAATTCTTAAAAAGAAAATATCAAGAAGGATTAAAAAAAATATTGATAGTTTCTGTACTTGAAGAATCGGTTAACATTTCATTTTACAGTTCCAGTAATTTTTTTAAAAAATGATTAGACCCAACCTGTATATTTTGTTTGATAATTTGTGGCTTTCGCTTAATATGTCACAAGTATTTTTTCTTTGTTGTATATTTGGATTATTTTGGTTTTTCTCTAACATAAATAGCACTGTAGTGAGTATTCTTAGAGCTCAGCCTTTGAACATACATATACTCATTTTCTTGAATAGAATTGGTGGACCAGAGAGATGGACATATATATTGGTGTCTTGTACTAATTTTGCTGAATTATCTTTAGAGAGATGGTATTGCAGTTCATTCCCATCAACCTTTATAATGTGCCTATTTCCCCAAATCCTTACCTATGTTCGGTATTACCATTTTTGTAATGTCTGCCAATTTGATAGGTTACACATGGTAACTTATTTTATTATCTCTTTATCCTTAATGTCTTCCCCTGGCAGTTTTTCCGTTTTAAAAAAAAATTGCCATGAATTCTTAAATTTCTTAGGGGTAAGCTCTTTGTCATTTAAATAATGTAGTTTGATTTTTGTTCTATGAAGGGATGTTAGTATCTGGTAAATAAATAATGAGTACATGAGGGCTTCATTATACTTTCTCTACTTTAGAACATGTTTGAAAAATGTGCATATTACTAAAGTATTTAAAATAATAGAGCCATTTAATAACTTTCCATAGTCTTTCCACTAAAGGATACCCATTTTTAAGTGCTGTGGGATTCCCGTAAATTGCTAATGTAAAACTGGGGGAGGTTTTCAAAGGAGATCATTTAACTTTTGGTCATTAGTCAGTAGATGCTGTCCTGATGATACCAGTTTTCCCAGTCCAGTCCCTTTGGTATTGTGCTGGCCAGACCTAAAATTTCTACCTTTAAAACCAGCTCAGGTGGGGAACCAGCAGTTAGCGTAATGGCTATGTCGCTGGACTCCCACGTAGTCGACCGCGGTTCGTGTCCTGGACCCAGTGGCTTAAAACTCACGCTGGGCACGTGTGCGTGCGTGCCCAAGATCCCGAGAGGAGAATGGAGGAGAAGGGATTGCGGCGTGACCATCCCCCCTGGGGGGTGATTTCTCGCTTTCTGTCTCTATGTCTCTCTCTGTCTGTCTGGCGAGCGCACGCGCCCTACAGTGAAAATCTCTCTCAAAAAAAAAAAAAACCAGCTCAGGTGCTGGACTTCTCATGGTCGACTACTGTTCTAGTCCTGGACCTGGTGGCTTGCTTTCTCACTTTCTCTCTCTCTCTTTCTCTCTCTGGTGAATTAAAATAATTATATATATTTTTTAAAAAACAGCTCATAATTTCTCTCCTGCCTTATATGCAAAGTATAGGTGAAATTCGACCAGATTTTTCATTTTGCAGATTTGGATTCACTCAGTGTCATCGTTACAGCAATAACTGCATTTGGGAAGATAAGGAAGTACATATCTGTTCCTTCTTGTGTCTTTTTTCTTTAGATGTTGAGCATACAGGAGCCACCAGCGAGTTCTATGACAAGTTCACAATTCGCTATCATATTAGCACCATTTTTAAAAGCCTTTGGCAAAACATAGCTCACCATGGTACCTTTATGGAGGAGTTCAAGTGAGTATTGGGCCCCTGATGTAACAGCTTGCTCTCTTACAAATCACAGGTAGGACTGCAACTTAAAAGCTTTCATAGCGGGGTTCTTACTGACTGTTTGTCTGGTCTCAGCCTCCTTTAAGTTAACCACAAGGTACTGCTAAATGTGGGTGGGGTTTTCTAAATGTTTGCTTGCAAGATAGAGCCTCATTTTAGATTTGTCAAGATATTTGGGGGAACCAGCAGTTAGCATAATGGCTATGTCACTGGACTCCCACGTAGTCAACCACGGTTCGCATCCCAGACCCGGTGGCTTAGAACTCACGCCGGGCACGTGTGCATGTGTGCCCAAGATTCTGAGAGGAGAATGGAGGAGAAGGGATTGCAGCGTGACCATCCCCCCGGGGGGTGATTTCTCACTTTATGTCTCTATGTCCCTGTCTGTCTGGTGAGCGCACGTGCCCTATAGCAAAAACCTCTCAAAAAAAAAAAAAGATATTTGGGGGATGGTATACATGAAGATTTATAAGATACACTGAAGTGATATAGTTAAGTTTTTGTTTTTTTTTTTTAATATTTCTATGATTACAACGTAAGGTGAAATTTTCAGGGAGACTAAAATGAACTCTTAGTGTTCCCAAATATGATATCAAGCTTTAGAATTAGAAAGGTTAGGAGGACTGTTGATTTAGAAGCAGTTTGGTTGGGCCAGCCTTATGGCCTAGTGATTAAGGGACACTTATCCCCCATGGCGAACTGCATGGTTCAAATTCCGACCAGCAGCTTGAAAAACACACAGGGTGCATGTGTGTATGCCCAGAATTCTGACAGGATGAAGAAAAGAAGGGATTGCTGTGGGTTTGTTTGTTTGTTTTTAAGAGAGATTTTTGCTAAAAGGTGCGTGTGCTCCTCAAAGAGATAGAGAGACATAAAGCGAAAAATCACCCCCTTGGGGGATGACCATACTGCAGTCCGTTCTCCTCTAGAGATTTTGGGCATGTGTGCATATACACCCGATTGAGTTTTAAGCCACTGGGTCTGGGACTTGAACTGCAGTTGACTACATGGGAGTCCAGTAATTGTCACTGGACTCCCACGTAGTCAACCACGGTTCGCATCCCAGACCCGGTGGCTTAGAACTCACGCCGGGCACGTGTGCATGTGTGCCCAAGATTCTGAGAGGAGAATGGAGGAGAAGGGATTGCAGCGTGACCATCCCCCCGGGGGGTGATTTCTCACTTTATGTCTCTATGTCCCTGTCTGTCTGGTGAGCGCACGTGCCCTATAGCAAAAACCTCTCAAAAAAAAAAAAAGATATTTGGGGGATGGTATACATGAAGATTTATAAGATACACTGAAGTGATATAGGTAAGTTTTTGTTTTTTTTTTTTAATATTTCTATGATTACAACGTAAGGTGAAATTTTCAGGGAGACTAAAATGAACTCTTAGTGTTCCCAAATATGATATCAAGCTTTAGAATTAGAAAGGTTAGGAGGACTGTTGATTTAGAAGCAGTTTGGTTGGGCCAGCCTTATGGCCTAGTGATTAAGGGACACTTATCCCCCATGGCGAACTGCATGGTTCAAATTCCGACCAGCAGCTTGAAAAACACACAGGGTGCATGTGTGTATGCCCAGAATTCTGACAGGATGAAGAAAAGAAGGGATTGCTGTGGGTTTGTTTGTTTGTTTTTAAGAGAGATTTTTGCTAAAAGGTGCGTGTGCTCCTCAAAGAGATAGAGAGACATAAAGCGAAAAATCACCCCCTTGGGGGATGACCATACTGCAGTCCGTTCTCCTCTAGAGATTTTGGGCATGTGTGCATATACACCCGATTGAGTTTTAAGCCACTGGGTCTGGGACTTGAACTGCAGTTGACTACATGGGAGTCCAGTAATGTAACTATTACACCATCTGCTGATCCCAAGAAGGGGTTGCTGTGTGACTATGCCTCATTTGGGGGTGCTTTCTCCCCCTTCCTCTCTCATAGGCAAACACATAGTCCTTTGGTAAATGAGGGAGGAAAAAGGACAAAAGCAAAACAATATAGAAGAGTTAGGTCAGGGTCATCCTTTCTAGTGTCATACTTAGATCTTTCATAACCCATATTACATCTTTGATCAAGTTTAGCTATCACTTGTTAACTGAGTTACTAGTCAATAATAAACACATTATTAATGGAGTAATTATTTGCTAGGTAGTTTTCTATAGAGTAAATTCTTCAAGTTAATCCTGCATTTCCCATGGACTGCTCTTATGGTCAGAATTGTTCCATAAGAGCCTGGCATGAGCTGAGGGGCCCAGTCAGGCCCGTAGCTTGGTCTGCCTGTGTTGATGAGGAGCGCTTGTCCTGAACGTGCGCGTTCCTGAGCCCAAGGCCTCCCGTGTCTGTTCACAGGCATGCTCTTCCCACCCCAGTTACACAGTTGTAGATCCTGAAGTGTAGCTTCGCTTTTCTCCGTTAATCTGGCGGTTACAAAGTCCCACAGAAATAGGCCACGCTACTTCAGTTCACCAGTAAGCCCCCTCATTATAACATGACCTCACACCAGCTCCTTAGATGGGAAGCTTCAAGTTCTATGAAGTAAGTTAATATCCTTCTTTATCAGCATTACAGGTTCCAGGTTTCTTTATTTTTGGTAAGAAGTAACTTTATCAGTAGTTCTCTTGTCTCTTGTGTATGGGTAATTATTTGTGCTTTCTTGTTTCTTAGTGAGTATATTCTTTTTCTAGTCTGGAAAAATGTTTTCTCTGCTTAAAAACATTGAGGTAATGAGCCAGGGGGTGTGCTGATAAACCTCCTCTCTGGGAGGAAAAAAGTCTGCATTTGCTGGTTTCCATGGTGTGAATACTTCCATAGTTGCCCAATTTAAGCTTCCAAGGGAATCTGCTTACAGAATTCTGTAGCATTTAGCAGTTGGCTCTCGTAAGCCATGCAGGGTGGCTCCAGTGCACCACTGGAAGGACCTTATCACAGCTGATTTAAAATAATAACAAATCTAAAGAGAGACATGTTAGTCCTTGCACTCTGCAGCGCCTGAGTGTGCCTGGGTCGGCAGTCTTCCAGGGGGAGGTGCCTGGCAGTCTGGGGGGAGGCTCATTTTCCCTGGGATCGGCTGTGGCATTTTGTTCCAGGGAGATAATGTGCACATGTATGATATAATTGCCTTTTCAGCTCTGGGAAGCAGTTTGTTCGCTATATAAACATGCTGATAAACGACACGACGTTTTTGCTCGATGAGAGTCTGGAGTCTCTGAAGCGGATCCACGAAGTGCAAGAAGAGATGAAGAATAAAGAGCAGTGGGACCAGTTGCCCCGGGTGAGGACACAGCCCAGGTGCATGGGCAGCTTTGCGAAGACTCTGCCTCTGGACACCGGCAGAGCTCGGCCTCGGGGGCTGCGTCTGGGGGGGGTCTGATAACAGATCTGACTTGTCGGGATTTTCTTCCCTGTGGGCTTCTGTGAAGTAATATCTAGGTGTGGGTTAGGAAGAAACTTTTACTGAAAACATTTTACTGAAGCTAAGAAATGAGAAGTCTTTCAGAATGTGTCCTGATCACTTTCTCTCTCGTTAATTTTAAATGGCTTTTTTCAGAGACGAGCTTTTATTGTCTGAATTTATTAAGATTTGTGATGATAACTAAGACATTAATCTTTAGAATTCAGTCTGCTGGACAAGAATTTGGTTTGTTCATATGGTCTTCTCTGGACAGCTGCAGAATTCTGGTGGAGTTTTCCTCTCTCCATTGATCTTGATTTTCATATTCCATTTTTAATAGAAGAGGCCTGGTTTTCCAGGTGCCATGAGAAATTCATGCTGTGACAGTGACAACAGAGTGCCCTTTCCTGAATGCACTGCAGCCATTTAGGTGGTTTCTTGGTCAGTTAGGTTCTTGACAACTGCTGGTGATTTTGTATTTTGGTTAGTTTTGTTCCTGGTGTTGTCAGGCTCAGAGTTAGAAATACTTTCCAAAAGGGATTCTCATCAGAGTGTGGGGAGGACAAGACTGCTTTCTCTTTACTTATGGTAGCATTCTTACAATGAGAAGTACACTGAAGGTCTCATGTGGGTCAGAAAGTATCTTAAGGCCCAGCCCTGGTGGGAGTGCAGCTAAGATGGTGTGCCTGCAGGCTGGGGCCGCACGTGAGGCCTGCGTTAGATTTCTCGCCCAACCTAAGGGCCAGGCCCAATGGCATGTGCCTGTAACCCCAGCTACTTGGGGGGATGATGCTGGAGGATAGCGACAGGGCAAGACCCTGTCTTTTTAAGAGGGTATCTTGAATGTAGGCTATGGAAGCACATTTAGGGAAAGTTTTCATTCCAAGTATTTCTACTGCTTGGATGAGAATTTTACCGTTTGCTCCAGTCAGTGTGCTTAAACAGTTAACGTAAACCTTGCAGGGAGCTTTGCCCAGGATCTGTGCTTGCTGAATTTCCCCCGCATCCATGCCACCATACTCCATGAGCCTCTCTGCCTTCTTTTTTCATTTTATTATTATTTTTTTTAAAGAGGTTTTGTTTTGGGTGTGTGGGCTCACCAGAAAGACAAGAGAGAGACAGACAGAAAGTGAGAAATCACCCCTCAGGGGGGATGGCCACACCTCAATCCCTTCTCCTCCATTCTCCTCTCGGGATCTTGGGCATGCACACATACCCGTTGTAAGTTTAAGCCACCGGGTCTGGGACTCGAATCGTGATCAACTACGTGGGAGTTCAGCAACATAGCCATTACACTAACTGCTGGTCCCTCTGCCTTCTTTAGATCAATAGTCCCCAATCTTTTGGGCACCAGGGACTGCTTTTGTGGAAGACAGTTTTTCCCTAGACCATCTCTGTGATTTGGGGATGATTCAAGCACATTATATTTACTGTGCACTTTATCTCTGTTATTATGTTGTTGTTGTAATATATAATGAAATAAGTATACAACTCATAATGCAGACTCAGTGGGAGCCCTGAGTTTGCTCCCCTGCAAGATGGTCCCATCTGGGGCTCTCGTGAGAAGCTAAAGCCCCCATTGATCTGATAGGAGCTGGAGCTCAAGCGGTAATGCGAGTGACGGGGAGCAGCTGTAAATATGAGTGAAGCTTCGTCATTCACCTGTCACTCACCTCTTGCCTGTGCACCCTAGTTCTTTTTTCTTGGCGCTGTCCTGGTACCCACTGAAGTCATTTCCGAACAAACTTTAGCTGTTTAGTTGCTAGGACTCAGAAACCTCCCACGGTTCCGTAACTTCCTCAGGATGGGTGACCCAGACCAGTGCTCCCCGTCTCCCCAGTGTCGCTCTAGGAGGTCCTTCCAGCTCCGCCTCCCTTTGTAGTGAGCTGGCCCCGAACTGGAGCATGTCCAGGTCCTCTCAGAACATGCGGGGGAAACAGATGAGGCATAGTTTAAAGAGCCCAGCTCTGGCGTCCAGGGTGACGCAGGCTTGAGAAGTGACACTACCACACACTGTAAGTTCCGTAATCCCTGTTGGCTCACCTGTAAACTAAAGGTAACACCTGTCTTGCAGGACAGCTATGAGGAGAGATGATGGATGGGAAGCACACAGTGCAGGTCCCACCCAGGTGCTCAGTGCGCACCGTGGCTCCTGTTCCATTTGCCCAGAGACACTTCTCCCCAGTGTCCTACTTCCCGTCACATGTAACAGGTCCCTTCCCTGCTTTGAGTGAGATCCCGTTCCCCCTCGTGGGTGGTCTTCCCTTCCCTGTCAGCATGGCTGGGAAGCCTCACCTTCTCCTAACCTCTGTGGCTTCCTCCCTCTGCCACTTGAAGCACTTTTCAGAGACCAACTTATATTGTAGATGCTGGGATCCAGGTCGATAACACATTCTTTTGTTCATAGCTTAATAGCATTTGTTTATGAGACAACCAAACAAATACTATTGATTTTTTTCTGTGTTAATGGATGAAAAACTAACAGTTGCTATTTCAGAAATAGCTCTCATTTGACTTTGAAGTCACTTCCGAACTCCCACCTTGCTGGCTGTTTCTGCTCACCCCACTGACCTCTGAAATTGGTGGACCCCAGTGCTCAGCCCCCAGACTTCTCCTCTGTCCTTTCCATGCTTTCTCCCTAGGTTCGCATTTCTCAGTGAGGGTGCAAGTTGGAATTTTGAGCATAATCGAATTTTGGTAGAATTGTAACTTACTATGATGAGAGACTGCCCTGTCTGCTGTAGGACATTCAGTCTCTGGTTCCTGCCCGTTAGCTAGTGGTGTTCCCCTTTAACCCAGTTTTCCGGCATCTGAAAACACATACAACTGCCACCTCCAGATGAAAGTCACTGTTAGGTGATTTCACCCATTCCAAGGTGAAAGCCTGAATATCTGTATTCCACAGATCCCAAAATGGATCTCCCAGCTTATATCTCCCTGACTCCAGACTTTGTACCCAGGACTGACTTGCCTCACAACCTGGCGATCTAAGAGATATTCCAAACTTGGCATGTCCCGAACTAGCCTCTCGGTGTTGTCCTTCACATCTCTGGTTCTGTCCAGTCTCAAGAAACACCGGGTTCCTTTGACCGATTACTGAGGCTCAGCGATCTGGAGTTGTCCTTGATTTTTCTTTCTCTCACCAAATAGCTCTAGGCTCTGTTTTATTCTCTTCTTGTGATAGAGTGTGTGAGCATGAGAGAGAAGAGCGAAGAGAATGAAGGTCTGGTCGTGCCACTGTTCCTTTCCTGCACTCCTCCAGCCCTTCACATCCTGGTCACTCACTTGCGTGCCTGGCGTGTTTCAGTGGACAGGGTGGGGATGTGAGCCACGGTTTCCACATGAGACCTGGCTTCTCGAGAAGCGAGTGCCGCTGTGCTCTGTTCTGGTCTTGGGCTCTGTCTTAAATGTATCTGTCAGGTTGGCTCCGAGGCTGGTGATTAAGCAGCTGGTTCTCCATGGCCTACCATGAAACACCGGGTTCCTTTGACCGATTACTGAGGCTCAGCGATCTGGAGTTGTCCTTGATTTTTCTTTCTCTCACCAAATAGCTCTAGGCTCTGTTTTATTCTCTTCTTGTGATAGAGTGTGTGAGCATGAGAGAGAAGAGCGAAGAGAATGAAGGTCTGGTCGTGCCACTGTTCCTTTCCTGCACTCCTCCAGCCCTTCACATCCTGGTCACTCACTTGCGTGCCTGGCGTGTTTCAGTGGACAGGGGATGTGAGCCACGGTTTCCACATGAGACCTGGCTTCTCGAGAAGCGAGTGCCGCTGTGCTCTGTTCTGGTCTTGGGCTCTGTCTTAAATGTATCTGTCAGGTTGGCTCCGAGGCTGGTGATTAAGCAGCTGGTTCTCCATGGCCTACCATGCCATCCAAGTCCCAGACCCAGTGGCTCAGGAACACTCCAGGCGTGGGTGTGAGAGTGCCCAAAACCATGAAAGGAAGGAGAGGAGGAGAAGGGATTGTGGCATGACCATTCCCCACGAGGGGGGGCTTTCTCCTCGCCCTTTCTCTTCGTCACTCTCTGGTGAGCACACATACCCTCTAGCATGTATGTACCTCCATTATCTGCCCTCTTCCTGTCAGCTCCAGGCCACTGTCATCTCTCACCTGGATCACTGCGGCAGCCCCATACTCGTCCCCCAGCCTCCACCCTGGCTCGTGTCCACACCAGGAGGCTGCCAAGATCTCAGGCTGTTCAATACCACTCAGCTCCAAGCCCTTCCGGCTTCCTTTCTCACTCAGTCAGTGGTACGTGTGGCCTGCAGGGTACTGCAGGACCCAGCCCCTCACTGTCTGCCACCCTTCCCTCCACTCACCCCAGTCACACTTAACTCTTGCCCTTCCACGGACATGCGAGGCCTTTGCACTTGCCGTTCCTTTTTCCCAAGAGGCTCTTTTTGCTGATTGATGTCCTTTAGATATCCACTTAGAGGTCACCTCCTCAGAGAGGCCTTCCCTGACTACCCTTTCCATAATAGCATTTCCTGATTCCAACATCACTCTCTCACCTGACCCTGCTTCATTCGTCATCATCACTGTTAAATTTACTGTGTGTCTCGCTGAGCAGTTGCTTGTTACTGGTTTCTCTAATGGAATCTAAGCTCCATGAAGGTAGAGAGCCTGGTAGGTCCCGTTCTGCCCTCTGTCTCCAGTGCCTATAGAAAGGCCTAGATAATATTCACGGAGGAACAATTGAGACACCAGACACGCATTTAGGAGTTCCCATCTGGCTGTCCTTGTGTCTATCCTGGTGCAGCCTTTTTCAGTAGGTTCCTTCTTGCCAAGGGAGTAGCAGACCAGCACCCAGTGTCCCCCAGAGTACAGAGCGCCACGCACACCCAGAGGTGCTCGCTTGGCAACATCAGCTGTTCCAGCTGTTTTCCTCTCCTCAACAGAAACAGGCCTCTGGGCAGACTGGAGAATGGAAGTCTGCTGACGTGTTTGTATTTTACCCGTCTCTGAGCCTTTGGTGCTCTGCCTGATTTCCTCAGGCGTCACAGCCCTTACTCGCTTGTTTCCTTGCCCCTGGCAGAGTTGGAGGAGGAGGATGGAGCCAGAGGCAAGCAGGCTGGCAGTGTAGAGGTGACAGCCCGATGGCAGAATGGTGAAAATCCAGAAAGCTTAGCAGTCTCTAGGCAGTAGGTATAGGTTCAAACCCGACGGGCCTTGCTCCCATGGCACAGCACGTCTCATGTGTTTGTTTTTTGGAGAGGTTTTTGCTATAGGGCGCGTGCGCTCACCAGAAAGACAAGAGAGAGAGAGACACAGAGAAAGAAAGCGAGAAATCACCCCTCCGGGGGATGGCCACGCCAGAGTTCCTTCTCCATTCTCCTCTTGGGCTCTTGGGCACGCACGTACACGCGCCCGTTGTGAATTTAAGCCACTGGGTCCAGACTCAAACCACGGTCGACTACATGGGAGTCCAGCGACATAGCCATTATGGCAACTGCTGGTCCCAGGTCTCATGTTTTTAAAACAATGATGACTAAGTGAAACTCTTGTTACGGGGTATGAACTACCGTCTGCCAGCTCCAGTGTGTATCATGCACTCTGTGAGATTCTCTTGTTTCATCCTGTGTAGAAGCTGATGGGGACTTCATTTATCTTGAGGAAACTGAGGCTCCTAGGAGTTAAATATGTAATAAGGTCACCTGACTCCGAGTTCTAAAGAGTTCTGATTCTAAAAGGAGGAGGCTTCAGGTATCTGGAAACTCGGCGTGGGTTGTAAGAGCACTAAGTGTGTGGCTCTGTTGCACACTGTTCCAGTTAGGAGCTGGCCGTTCTTCCTTCACACGGGTGTTTCGGTGAGCTGGTGCCAAGATTGATATGGCATCTTCTTGATGTTCCCCAGGATCAGCAGCAGGCCCGTCAGTCTCAGCTTGCTCAGGACGAGCGTGTTTCACGCTCTTACCTTGCCCTGGCAACAGAAACCGTGGACATGTTCCATATCCTCACGAAGCAGGTCCAGAAGCCGTTCCTCAGACCGGTGAGTGGAAACTGGGGGGTGTTCATTTTGCCTACTGGACTCCACGTTCAGACTTTGCCCCTTCTTAGCTGATGTAGTTGTTGAAATCCTGGAAATGTTAGCGTCCCAGTCACTGATTAAGTGGAAGCCTGTTGCTAATTTTGTTCCCAATTATGCTGAATATACACGCAGCATCCTGTTAATAAAATGAAGATGTTTTGTGTCATTGCATAGTCAGCAAATAGTACTTCCAAAATGATGTAATTCGCTTTCTGCTTAGACAGGGCTTTGGATTATTAATGTTGAAGTTAAGGCATATTTTTGTGATCTGTATATTTTGTTTATAGAAAAAAGTGGAAGACAAATTGACTTGGAGTATATAACGAGAACAACTGCTAATGTCTAAGATCTTTGGTTCCAAAGGTTAACGAGAGCCATAATGAGGGTTTATGATAGATCAAAGGTAGTCAAAATGTTTGGCCTGGACTTGATCAGTAAGACCTGGGTCCTGGATCCTGAAATTGAAACCAAACAACGGAACCCAAGAACTCTGCTTTGCTTTGACCTCCTCTGTCACAGAGCTGAGAAACTTCATAGTGGGACCAAGATGAATGAAGTGAGGGAGATGAGAAAAGGACCTGAGATTTAGTCATTGTTTTTCTAGGTGGAGACAAATTCGTTTTACAGTGCAGCGCAGTTCCACTACTCACTTCCTCTAATTTTCTATAGTCTCTCTTGCTGCCATCACCTGACCTATTGTGTCATCTCCAGCAGAGGCGTTTTTACCACTTTAGAGTGCAACTAAGAGTCTCTTCTTTCCCCTTTCCATTTCATGTCTGTTGTTAAACAGATTTCAGTGTAGGAGCAGTGAGATGTGAAACAAAACAGAGCTCACTGTTCACACTTGCCTTCCTTGAAGGTTCCGTCAAGGCCAGATGGCACAGACTTAAAAGGCATTGTGTACCACACGGTCTCTGTTGCAACTGCCAGTTCTGCCATTGCAGCTTAAAAGCAATCACAGGTAGTAAATTAATAAGCATGAATGTATTCCAATAAAACTTTATTTATAAAAGGAGGAGACATTATGCTGGAATTGGCCTGCAGATAGTATTTTAGCAAGCTCTGCTGTAAACCATGTTTTCTTTTTTTTTTTTAAGAGAGTTTTTGCTGTAGAGTATGTGTGCTCTCTGAAGAGAGACAGAGAGACAGAAAGCGAGAAATCACCCCCTAGGGGGAATGACCATGTTGCAGTCCCTTCTCATAGTCAACTGTAGTTTGAGTCCCAGACACACCGGGTACATGTGTGTGCGTGCCCAAAATCTCAAGAGGAGATGGGAGGAGAAGGGATTGCAGCGTGGCTATCCCCTGGAAATGATCTCTCACCTTCTGTCTCTGTCTCTCCGACAAATGCACACACCCTATAGCAAAAATCTCTTAAAAACTAATAATAGTAATTTTTCTCAAGACTTCCTCATAGACTTGAGTCATCCATACTCCTTGGACCTGTGCTCTTGCCCTCAATCTCATTCCCGTGCCTGTGCGATGTTTCCGCATCCTTTGTTACATACATCATTTTAAAAAATAACCTTATTTTTTATTTATTTATTTTTTTAGTTTAACTAGAGAAAGACATAGAAAGAGAAAGAAGGAAAGTGAGAAAGTAAGCTGCCAGGTCCAGAACTCAAACCACAGCCAGCCATGTGGGAATCTAGCATCTTAACCACCACGCTACCTGCTGGCTCATGTACATCTTTTTTTTTTTTTGAGAGGTTTTTGCTATAGGGCGCGTGCACTCACCAGACAGACAGAGA